CTCTCAGCACTCTCGCACACAGAGCACTCTCTCTTGGCTTGTCCGCTTTCTCCCACTTCTTCTGACTCCTCTCAAGTTACTTCATGGAAAGAACACTAGCACCCTCATGTTCCTTCTCTGTTATCCTGGAAGCCTCCCATACAAATAATGCTGGTGATCTTCCAGCATTGAGGAAAGGAAAGGTACTATGTTTAAATGTGAAGAACAGAATGATGCTGAATCAGTGATGCCATCCTCTGAAGCATTTGAAAATATGCAGAGGTTCCTTTCTTTTGCTAGTGCTTTCTAGTGCTTTTTTCAAAATGTCTATTCAAGATAAAATGTTTAAAATATATTGGTTTGATGCATAAGTTCGTAGCGTTTGTTTTGGCATTTCAACACTGCTGTGTTGGAAGCTTATCGTCTGTCATTTATCATTTGGAGCGACAATGTTTTGCTTGTGAATATGCCTCACATTTTGCAGATTTAAAGAAAGTGCTATTTGTGGACTAAAAAAGATGGAGTGTCTAGTGGAAAAATGTGAACACTTCCGACATATTCTTGTTTGAGTTTAACAGAGTAGTAAAGGCAGTGGAGGCAGCTGGAAACATTTGTGCTGTGTATGGGGAGAATACCATCAGGGAAAACATGAAGAGAAAATGATATTGTCATTTCAAAGAGGACCACTTTGACCTGAGTAATTCTCCATGTTCAGAAAGATCATCCAGCCTTGATGAAGACTCTTTAAATGCTTTAATCTATGATGATCCACATCAGTCAGCCTGAGAACTGGCAAATGTGATGCACTGTGAGTAACATGAACCATCATGCGACATTTGCGTTCCCCAGGCAAGGGGAAAATGCTATGAATTTGTGCATCAGCCCAATAAAATTTTATTTGTTTATTGCAAAGACATTTTCTACTTTTTTGTTTTTCCTTGCAAATGTAACCCACTTAAACAATAAAATTGACTGAATAATCTTCAAACAAATGAACAACCTTCAAACAAATTTCTGAATGTAAAGCATTTATAAAATGATGTCTCACATAAGATATAGTTCAAAATGAACAGAATAAACAATATCTATTGTATCAATTGAAAGGAGAGAGATGGAGGGAGGTGACAGACAGACAAATAGTTAAGCTTGGGAAAACTTTTTGCACAGAAGGTAGAAGTTGAGCTAAACTCTAAATAGTAAACATTATCATGGTAGGGAGGAATTGAAAGTGTTTCTTTTTCTTTCTCTTTTTTTTTTTTGAGTTGGAGTCTCACTCCATTGCCCAGGCCAGAGTGGAGTGGCATGCTCACGGCCATCCCGGCGTGAACCTGCTGGGCTCCGGTGATCCTTCCGCCTCAACCTTCCAAGTAGCCAGAGCTACAGGCATGTGCTATCATGCCTGGCTAATTTTTTGATTTATTGTAGAGACGAGGTCTCACCATGTTGCCCAAGCTGATCTTGAACTCGCGGACTCAGGCAATCCTCTCGCCTCGGCCTCCCAAAGTACTGGGATTACAGACTTGAGCCACTGCGCCTGGCAAAAGAGTTTCTTAAGTTGGGAAAAGACTGTTGGCAAAGATGTATTTGGTTGAAACAGAGACTTCTATGGAGGAGAAAAGAAGCTATTGACAAATCAGGATTGGGCCAATTTGTAGGCGTTTTAAAATGTCACATTGAGGAGCTGTGTGGATTTTCTTTTATAAATCATCAAAAGCTATTGAAAGTTTTGAAGTATTGTAATGAATTTGACAAAGTAGTTTTTAAAAATCGCCTTCCCTGTTTATGTTTTAGACATTGGAAGGCAGAGAGACTAGACAGGTGACCATTTATGACCACATGCTTGTGAGATGCCAGGGACTTGGAACAATGTGGTGGGAATGTCTAATGAGGGGAACTAGGACAAATTCTTCAAAGGACGGGCAACAAACTCCTGGTGTTACAAAGGAGGTGGGAAAGACAAGAAGTCAGCAATGAGAGTGCGGTCTCACACTGGGTGACTGGGAGAATGAAGGGTAAACCTGTTAGCAGGAACAGGGAGGTCAGAAGAAAAATTGTTTGAATGGATGGGGTGAAAGAAAGAGATAAGTACACGAGGAGTTTGATGCTGTCAATAGATATTTAATATAAACCACATGTCATTTAAAATCATCTAGCAAGCCGGACTTGGTGGCTAAGCCTGTAATCCCGCGCTTTGGGAGGCTGAGGTGAGTGGATTGCCTGAGCCCGTGGGTTCGAGACCCGCCTGGGCAACTTGGTGAGACCTCATCTCTACAATAAATCAAAAAATCAGCCGGGCGTGGTAGTGCATGCCTTGTAATTCCGGCTACTCAGAAGGCTGAGGCGGAAGGATCGCCGGAGCCCAGCAGGTCGAGGCTGCGGTGGCCAGGAGCGGCCACTGCACTCCAGTCTGGGTGACAGAGTGAGACTCCAGCTCAAAAATAAATAAATAAATAAAATAAAAAAATAAAATAATCTAGCAGCCAAAAAACAAATGGTGAATCATGTTCAATAATGCTTTGTTTACTCCAATATATTCAAAATATCATTTCAACATATACTCAATAAAAGTGTAATAGTACGATAGTATACATTTTTAAAAATGTTTTTGAAACCTGGTGCCAATTTTACATTTATAGCTCATCCCTAAACTGAGATTACTAGATACATTACCAGTGCTCAGTAGCTGCCTGTGGTTGGTGGCTACCATAGTGGACAGTTCATTATTAGACAATTTAATAGAACTGACAAAGATTATTTAGCAAATTTCTTAATTAAGCTGGTGCTAAGACTCACTGTATTTTGAAAATTATAATTCTGCATATCCTTTTTCCTTCTCTATTTCTTTTGTGTATTTTAGCTATTTTAGGTTCAGGATGTTCTTTTAGCAGAACATTATTCTTTCCCAAAAGCTCCAGGATTTTTTAAAGAAATATCCAGGATATACTGTTTCATTGCTTTGAGTTGCTGCTGTCTCATTTAATTATGTTTGTCTTACAACTTTAATTAAACAAATCCATCTGAATACTTTTTCTTCCTCCATTGTCAGTCTTAAAATTTTTGATTATGAAATAATTTAGCAATGTGTCCTCAAAACCTAGAATAAATGACATTAAGTACTTTGGAAATGAGTACTGAGTTTTTCATGTTCCCTAGTCTGCATATGTGTGTGTATTTTTCCAGTGTTTAATATCTGACGTCAACTTGCTAGAGTTTTGTTCTTCAATGTATGCTAAAGAATGCAATACAAAAGGGAGCCTTTCTACTTCTACAGAAAACAAGCCAAGGACATTGTGTTCCATCTTTACAATGAAATGCAGATTTCCTATTAAAAGGCAAATCCATCATTTCAAAAGGTTGAACAGGATGGTGCACTTAAGAGATCCAGCTGCTTAAATTTAGGGTATTGAAAAACATTCAATAAATAAATGTTCCCTGGATCTCAAGCATTTTCATTTGATTATGTATTGGACAGATTTTTATTCAATCTAGATTTTTCCTTTTAGAATTCTGCCTTAAAATAGTTTGACAAGTGTTTTGAGCAAGTTGGACTCAACTATGATACTTCATTTACTTAAGTTATGTATTTGCTATTTAGAATACCCTTGTGTTTGCTAATATATCCTTAACTTTTGTACAAGAAATATTAATGCTTTGCATTTTCATGTTTATCCTTAGACTGTTCCCACTCCCAATCATTTTTGTATGTTTCTTCTTTTCTTTGGAGACCTTGTCTGCCAGGACAGCCATTTTGTTCTCTAAGCAGCTTCCTTCACCATTTCAGTCATCTGTTTCACATTGCTTTATTTTTGTGGCCAAATAGGATGCCCCCTTTTGCTATTCTTATGTGCTCTGACCAACTTTTTTTCTGGATAATTTAGGAGTAGGAAGTGGCAAAGGCAATGATATTCCCTGCAATACAACATGGCAGTCACACACTGGCTAGGAAACACAGAAGAGTTCTGCTCCATGCTGCTGAACCACAAATTCTCAAGGAAGTAGTCTATGTACTGTAGTAGCAAAATGATTTATGCCAAATATATTTGTATGGTGCATGTATTTCCCATGGACATTAAGAGTCCCTATGCTCTCCTCCTCTGGAGTTTAGCCCTGTTCTTTCTCAGAAGTAGCACCAGAGATGTAACCTGGGACCAGACAGAGGACTACAGTTTACAAGGGCAGTGATAACACAGCCCTGGTAATAGTATTTACTAGGTTTCTTAAGCTGAGTATTTGGCTCTCTCCTATTATCCTGGTTGTTAGGCATTTATACATACAGTGATATTACCCCTACCAGTCCCTAAAAGTAAGTGTTTCCAATAATTCTCTGGCATCTGATGTGTTTTACTAGGACTAAGTCAGTGCCATTTGCAGGCCTCGCCACTCCACTGATCATATTCTTCCTAAATACTTCATTTTAAAAGAGAATTTATTCTAGTATCAGTACACTTCTAATGGATTCTTTTTTTTCCCAAAGAGTTCAACAGTTATGTGGAATAATTTTTTTCAGCGTTCATATTTGATTCTAGACCCAAATGAGGGACGCGTTTTCTGTGCTTTATCCTAGTTTATGGAGGATATTTCATACTGGGGTCTTTGTGCTTCCACTCCCCTGCCAGCACTGGCAATCAAAAGTGCTTAGGCTGCAAATAAAACATGAAATGAAATCCATCTGGCATTTCTCACTGAATTAGGACCAGAACATTTTTGTTAAATATTAACAGATGGCTAAATTCTTAATATCAAACTAACATTTACAAACATCTTAGGGAACCCGCATGGGGGGAAGAAAGGAGGGCCATGTGCTTTCCCCCATCTCAGAACCCTTCCTGAGCATGGCCCCTGTCATATGTTGAGATCACTAGAGTCTCCTATCTCAGATACCTTTTCTTCCTTGGTAGCTGGGATGGTGTTTGATGGTATTAAGATAGTGTAATCAAGTGTTGGTTAACTCAGGTGATGTGCTGCCACTGGCATGCTTCAAAGATCTCTTATTAAAGTCAATTTTCACTGTCTCATAATAGGAGAAAGAAAAGAAGTACATGCTTCCCTTGGACAACCTGAAGGTTCGGGATGTGGAGAAAAGCTTTATGTCTAGCAAGCACATCTTTGCCCTCTTTAACACAGAGCAAAGGTAAGAAAAGAAAGCAACTTCTGTCTTCAGATTTTTTTCCTGCAAGTTCTATATGTCCCAGAGAGCATCGAAATCATATTTGCAAATAGTTCCTTTGGTTACACCTTGAAATTTGTCAGTTCTTCAGTTTTCCTTTCATTTATTTTGTATTTTTAACTTTCACCATGGATTATGGCTTCAGAAGATTGAAATTTAGAATAAATAAGATCTTCAAATATTAGCTAGTTTATTTCTTCCTTTTCTAGCAGACACCAAAATCATTCTTTATCCATTTTTAAAGCTATATTTTATTGCCTTAAAGTCTTTCTAGTCTTGATATATTGTTTACATATTTACAAATTACTAAACTATATATCTATAAGTTTTTTTTTACTTGGGATCTCACTCTGTTGCCCAGGCTGGAGTGTAGTGGCATGATCACAATGATCATGGCTTATGGCAGCCTAGACCTCCTGGGTTCAGGTGATCAATCTACCTCAGCATCCATGAAGCTGGGACTACAGGTGCTTGCTACCATGCCCAGCTATTTTTTATGTTTTTTGTAAAGACAATATATCACTGTGTTGCCCAGGCTGGTATCAAACTCCTGGGCTCAATCAAGCCTCCTGCCTCAGCCTCCCAAAGTGCTGGGATTGTACGTGTGAGCCACCATACCCAGCTAAATTACTCAATTAAAATTTTATTTATTTATTTAGTGAGTAAGCAGGATTTATTGGGAGAACAGAGAAGCTCCCATGGTGGGAGGGGACCCAAAGGGTTTCCCCCAATTATAATTTTAATAGTATCTGTCTGACATAGATGGATATCAGTTATGGTCTTCTAAGACCTATATATTTTGTTTGTTTGTTTGTTTTTGAGTTGGAGTCTCACTCTGTTGCCCAGGCTGTGGTGCTGTGGCACACTCATGGCCACCCCATCGTCAACCTACTGGGCTCTGGCGATCCTTCTGTTTCAGCCTTCCAAGTAGCAGGAACTACAGGCGTGTGCTACCATGCCCGGCTAATTTTTGATTTATTGTGGAGACGAGGTTTCACCAAGTTGCCTGGACTGGTCTCGAACCTGTGGGTTCAGGCAATCCACTCTCCTCAGCCTCCCAAAGTGCTGGGAATACAGACTGAGCCACTGAGCCCAGCCGAGACCTTTATGTTATGTCAAAATGTAATAAAAAGAATTATTCAGTTAAAGTAAAAATATGTATGACTGACAGTTTTTCAAAGCAGTGTTCACATTCATTGTCATTGGTTTTTGTAACAATTGCCCTTGAGATTAAAAAGATAGAGTTATAAATTAGAAATGTGTTCTCAGAGATGTTAATTGACTTTCTTAAGGTCATAAAACTAGTAAGCAAGGGAGCTGGAACTTGTATCAGGGCTTCATTGAAGTCCTCTTTTCCTTCCAATCATTTTTCATTGTGTGCCTTTTTTTTTTTTAACTATTGCTTATATACAATATCAAAACTTTATTTGGAGTTGGTAATCATGAAGTGCCATGATTATTTATTGTAGCTAAGCTGTAAAGTGAAATAAGCAAAAGGAGAGATGACAGGAAGAACCAGGGAGGTGTAAAAGGGCTACAACCAGGCAAGGATGATAAAAGAGACTTTTTCCAAATGGAACTGTTATAGGAAAAAGTTAATTAATTTGTATGACTCAGTTATTAAGAGAGTAAGTCACTAGGTGTCAGGGTCTAATTTTAACCCATTTTTCCAGGCTGCTTTTTATCTTTATTTGACAATGAATGAAGTTACTCGATTGGGTTCAATGACTGGCCCAGGGTCCATCACATAGTAAATGAAAACAGCAAAAGAAGACTTCTTCCTACATTCCCAGTCAGTTGCTCAGAGTGATTCATAATACAGAAATACTTAGAAAAACCACAAGAGCAAAGCACTTAAAGAATCAAGTTAAATACAACTAACTTCCCTACTAAATACTGAAATGAGATTTTTGAAGACTTATTATTTAAGAGCATTTTATAAAAACACACTGAAAATGATAAAGAATAGAAAGGTTTTTCTAGAGAGAACAGTGGTGAGTTCACCACATTAGAGCCAAGCTCGGTGCTAGTTTACATGCCTTCGTGAGAACTTTGGAGAATCAGGATACCCTAGAGCAATACTCGGGGCATGCTCAGCCCTCCTGCCTGGATGCAGAGCGGGACAGGTGACTACCAAACAGGAAGCCACAGGAAATGGAATCTTCAGGCAGCCTGGAAGTTCAGGTTATAAAAGAGCTTGTACAAAACAACCATAAGACAACGACAGAGCATCGTTTTAGATGAAGCACAACTATATAGATATTTCGGAATCCTGAAGTTCTAAAAGGTGTTGAGTTCTGCTGCCACTTCTCAGCAACTTCTGTGAGTACATAGATGTCCCCATAGGCACATGGATCTTTGTCTTTTCCCTTGAAATCTTGACTCCTTTAGATTATTTTTGTGCTGGCTGGGATCTCCTGTATGGCATTGACTACAGGCAGACATTCTCATCTTGATTTTAAGGAAAATCATTTTAAAATTTTAAGGAGAATTATTTTTAAATTTTAAGGAGATTTATTTTAAAATTTTTACAGTTAAGTATATATTGATGAATATTTGCTATCAGTAAAGAAGATTCCTTTATGGTATTTGAATTTTATCAACACCTCTGTCTGGAAGATTATGTAATTTTTCTTCTTTAATCTGTTCATGTGGTGAAATATATTGATAGACCTTCTAATGTTAAATCATCCATCCTTAGTCTCCTGGGATTAAACCTAGTTAGATCATGATGTAGTGTCATTTATTTTATGTTCCTAGCTTAAGTTTACTAGCGTTTTAGCAAATCCTAAAGTGAGTGAGATTGACCCATAAATGTTCTGTGGGTTTTTTGTTTTTTTTTTGGTGGGGGGAGGTTCTGTTTCTGCCTGGTTTTAATATCAAAGTTCTGTTAACTTCACAAATGGAGGTGGGAGTAAGTCTATTGTTCTTTGGAACACTTTGCATAAGATAGAGATTAACTATTAACTGATTGGTGAAAGTTACCTATAAAATCATCTTGCTCTGGAAAGTAGTTTTGATAAACAGATTTTTAACTAGTGACTGAATGTATTTAATGATTATAGGTTTGTTTAGATTTTCTATTTGTTCCATGGATCAGTTTGGATAAATTATTTTTTTTTAAGAAAATTATTCATTCTGTTTTGCTTTTGAATATGTTAGCATCAAATATTTAATATTCTATTTTTAAAAATATCTGTTGTGTCTGAAATTTGACTACTTTTTATTTCAAGTATTAAGCCTTTATCTCTTTTTTATGATTACTCTTGTCAGATTTTTGTCTATTTTCAAAGAATTCATTTGTAGCTTTTTTTGATTCTCTATTATGTATGTGTTTTCTGTTTTAATAATTTCTGTTCTTTTCTTATTTTCATCCATGTATTTTTTTGTGTGTTTACATTGTTGGTCTTTTTTCCCCAAACTTCTAAATTTATATTTGTAGTTCATCAATTTTTATTATTTCTTTTTCTTATACATGCATATAAATCTATAGATTTCCCTCCAGGTAGCCTTTAGCTGCTTACTATAATTTTTGAGATATGATTTTATTGCCATTCAATTCTGTTTCCTACTCTTTTTTTTTTCCCCCAAGGATACATGTATACCCATGTTTATTGCAACACTGTTCACACTAGTAAAGGTAAGGAAACAACCTAAGAATCCATCAACTAATGACTGAATAAAGAAAATATGGTATATATACACAATGGAATATTATCTGGCCATAAAAAAGTATAAAATTATATTATTTGCAGCAACATAAATAAAACTGGAGAACATTATGCTAAGTAAAACAAACCAGACACAGAAAGACAAATACTGCATATACCCACTTACATGTGGGAGCTAAAAAAGGAGATCACATGGAGGTACAGAAGTTACCTGAGACTGGGAAGGGTGTATGGGTTTGTTTCCTACTTTAATTGCAGTTTTTTCTTTGAGTTATTTAGAAGTGTTTTACATTTTAGAGGGCATGGAATTTTATTATTTTTTTCAGTGTCTATATCTAATGTAACTATATTATGCTCAGATATTATGGTCTAGTACATGGTAAGTTTTCATAAATGTTTCATGTATGTTTGAAAAGAATGTCCATTTGCTAGTTTGGAAGCATAGATCCTATGAAGTTGATTGGATTATGCTCAAGTGTTTTCTCCGGTCTCTATAGTTATTGTCATTTTTTTCGTTTTGACTAATTCAGACATTCAACAAGTATATATTAGGTGGTTGTTATGTGCCAGACACTGTTCTGTGCTTAAAATCTCTGAATGAAACAGACAAAAACAGTTACACATTTTAGATACATCCCCAAAAGAGGTGTAGGCAGGGAGACAAATAAAAACTCATAAAGAATCTTATTTTATTAGAGTGGCATTAAAAAATTCACTTTATGATTATGAGCGTGAATATTCTAGTAAGTCTTTCAGTTTTAGCTTTATGTATTTTGACGCCAACCTATGTCATTAAATTTATACAAATTTAGTATTTTTTATTTTTTTGAGTTGGAGTCTCACTCTGTCTCCCAGACTGGAGTGCAGTGGCCGCTCCCAGCCACCGCAGCCTTGACCTGCTGGGCTCCAACGATCCTTCCGCCTCAGCCTTCCAAGTAGCCGGAATTCCAGGCATGTGCTACCACGCCCGGCTGATTTTTTGATTTATTGTAGAGATAAGGTCTCGCCCAAGTTGCTCAGGCGGGTCTCAAACCCGTGGGCTCAGGCAATCCATTCACCTCAGCCTCCCAAAGGCGCAGGATTACAGGCTGAGTCACTGAACCCGGCTACAAATTTGGTATTGTATTTCTGACTTTAAAAATAATTTTGTGACAGCCCTCTTTATTCCTAATAATGTACTTTGCTGTAAAACTTATTTTGTCTGATGCTAATATATCTACACTAACTTTTTCATTAACATTTTTATTGATACATAATATCTGTATATGTTTATGGGGTGCATGCGATATTTTG